GGGGGGGAAAGTAAACACTAGGTGTCTGTGATATCAAAAAGGGAACACAACGAAAAGAATGAGGAAGAACTCCACAACAAGTATCATAATTTCTATCCTTCTTCCCACCTTCAGATCTCCAATACCCTTACCTAAGAACCAAAACCAAAAAAAGCCCCCAACCAATGCCCCTAACTACTCCTTTACTCAGGTCCAATCTTAGAACTGTGATGTCTTTAAAAAGGAACACCATCCCAAATATCTAAACAATCAGAATAAGCCAAACTGCCAAACCCTACAAACGGATTCTGCAAGATGTGGATTTGTACAATTTTAAGTGGACCTTGAAACCAAGTACCTCTCCCCAACCTACACAATTGCAGTTCTAACTGGGTTGAGAAGACTAAGAAACACAACCCAGAGACACACGGACAAATGTGGTGGGTCTCAGGACTGACCATAGGATAAAACAACCAGGGCAGCAAAATAACAGCTTCAGATGATTCCTGAGGAACACAAGAATGCAGTGATGCTGGAACTAGGGGTTCAGGAGGTGCTTCCGCATCCCTGGCTGAAGTAGTAAAAATAAACACCAAATTATTTGGTTTCCATCATCAGCACCCCCACTATAAATTTGTTCCAGCACTCCTGCAAGAATGTCTGTTGGCAAAACAAGCACTACTCACAATCTGACATCAGATGTAACATCAGACCTTGCCTGCATCACTGAGATCTGGCTAGATATGATTACTAATCAACTACTGGCCCAGTTTTTTCCCCCTACAGACTGCTCAGTAAAACACAAGCACAAAGGGGCCAAGAGCAGGTCATACTGGTTAGGCTGCTATTTAGATCTCTCATTGAGAATTAATTCAGCCACATTGTACATATTTGGATTTCGACCAAAAAAAAAAGGGGGAGGGGGGATCCCATTCAAAACTCTAGGTGCCCCTGATACCTAGTTCAAAAATAAATGAAATTAAACAGCAGATTACCCACAAAACAGATGCTGAATTTTCGATTCCTATTCATGGTGAGTGAGACAGATGGTCTCTGATTTCTCAATAATCTATATTTCATACCCAAGGAATGTGAGGGGGGGGGTACGACAAAAAAAAATTCTAAGCAAGCCAGACTGAAGATATGATCTAATGCCTATCCCTACAACAAATTGATAGTCCTATTAGAAACTCACAGAACCACCTGTGAGGCGCTTCATTTGAGGCTTGGGAGGAAGGAAACACCCAATGCAGGAGGGCTGACCTGCCTCAGGGGCTGGAAGGGGGAGGGAGGGGAAAAGGGAGGTTGAAGAAACAGTTTTGTTTTACTTGTTTTTGTAAGTTAAACAACTTCTTTTGTTTTTAATTTTTTATTTTTTTTCCCTAGGAAAAGTATTGTTCTGTGGATGCTTCAAGTAGTCTGCCCTGAAGGGAATGAAATCCTAGGCCTACAAAGCAGGCAGTTAAAATGTTCCTAGAACCTACATTCTCCACTGGGTCTCAGTCAATGGACATGGACAAAGGTTTCCTATCCTAGAAAGTTCTGTTGCCATGAGGCTTTTGGCAGGTGAACACAAGGGCAGCGGACCCAGGAGCACACAAGAGTTGGCAGAGATGTTTGATTCATAGTAAGTCTTTATATCATACTGGTTACATCAAAATGTGCCCCATATATTGTACAGAATGGACAACAATCTCAACTGTTAGAACCTTAATTTTTGCACATTTTAATGTGGAACCTGAGAAACAGCGAAAACAAGTAAATTAATTATGGAGAGTATTAAGAATTCAGAGACTTCTGGCCCCCCCAAGTCCCTGAAATCCTAGACTTTTCCCAAGCACCCTAAGCCTCTCCCAGGGGCAGCCATGTAGGGCAGGAGCCGTACCCACTTTCCAGTGCCTTTCTCATTTCTGTTGGCAAAACCTAAAGATTCTCCATAAGCAGTCATTCAAGAGGCTGGAGATTAGCATCCAATGGATATTGCACTGATTATGGGTGAGAAGATATTCATATTTTTAACATTATTTAAAATTGGTGGTATGAATATAGTATAATGGATGGAAAAATATATCCTATTTAAATAAAAAATGTAGAAAATAGCTAAAATTAAAAAAAGAAACTAACAATTTGACAGAAAGAGTGGGAGCGGGGTAGGTATTTTGTTTGTTTGTTTCTGTTAAAGTAACCAACATAAAATTTAGCTTTCATCACTCTGATCACTTTAACGTTTTATCTTTTTCCCTCATCCTTTCCCCATCTTTCTAGACCACGGTTCTCACCCTCTCTCTTGATGAGGCCGCCCTCCCAACATACTATACAAATTCCATGGCCCGGCTGTGCCACAAGAATGCTTTTTCTGGATATAAAAGCCAGGGCCAATGTTAGGGAGTAGCAAGGAGGGGGTACCATGAAATTAAGTTGCTCAGGCTTTGGCTTCAGCCCCAGGTGATGGGGCTCAGGAGCCCGGACTGCAGTCCCGTGTGGCAGGACTTCACCATTCTGCCCTGGTCTCTAGCTAGTCTAATGCCAGCAATGCTTGGCAGACCCCCTAAAACCTGCTTGCAGCCACCCAGGGGGCCCTGGACCAATGGTTGAGAACCATTGTTCTAGACCGTACATTCTGCAAGACAGGAACTGCGACCTCCTATTCTGCATTTCAACCCTTATTTGGAACCCTTGTTATTGTTGCAACATAAACAATAACAACTGTGATTTTATGCAGAAGAGGAGGATTTAATCTTCCAGTTCAAAATTAAATTTAAAATTTCCTGACTTCAAATGTGTTAATTGTGCAACTTATTGTTTTATTGATATAGTTTTTGCATTATAAAACTAATTAATTGAATTACTTCAACTTTCTTTTCCTATTGTAATTTAACCACGCTCCCCAGTATGTACTGCCCTAATATACAACAGAGGGTTCTGTGGCACCTTTAAGACTAACAGAAGTGATGGGAGCATAAGCTTTCATGGGCAAGAACCTCACTTCTTCAGATGCAAGAGGTCTTGCATCTGAAGAAGTGAGGTTCTTACCCACGAAAGCTTATGCTCCCAATACTTCTGTTAGTCTTAAAGGTGCCACAGGACCCTCTGTTGCTTTTTACAGATTCAGACTAACACCGCTACCCCTCTGATACTTGCCCTAATATACGTTAGTTTTGAATTTAACAGAATATTGTCTTAAAACCAAACCCAGCTATGTTAATTCTGTCCATTTCCTTAGCCTGTCCCTGTAGTCCAATACTTCTAATTTTAAGACTTACCTATTAAACAGTATAGTCTCATTAGTACAAGATAGGTCAACCTTACTTAACTTCTTTACCAGGCTGTGCTACAGGTCAAACAAACCTAAGAGATGTATTGCCTAAATAATACATGTCAAGTTATTGGACTGGTAGGCATCAAAATCAACTTGCTAAATTTACATTTAAAGGCCTGTTTCATATTTAACAGGTGCTGTGGTTCTACTGCTACTAAAATCAATGACAACTCGTTTACTACAAATACAATATGTTATTAACTTATGGAACGGAAAGCAACAGAACAGTTGTAAAACGTGTAGAGTTCGCTGCTTGGCTGTGTCCTAGTATGAGGCCAGGGTTAAGTCAGTGACAAGAAATACCAGCTAACACTGGACTGGAAGGGGATTAATTTGAAGACAGCGTTTGTCTGAATTCATTTTGACAACTATCTGCAATTGCAGGTTGCCAATCTGAGATATATTTATGGATTTCAGAAACACTGATCTTAGCTATATTAACATGGATTCCGTGTGCCAGTCTGTCCTGATGTACAACCTGACCTCCATGCTTTTGATCTTTACTGGCAATCTTCTCCATTCAATATGATGATATTATGAGTAAAGGTTCAGTATGTACGATCCAGAATACCAGTGAGATATCCATCTTTTTCTAAAAAAAAATCTGCCTTTTATATGGAACAGTGTCACCAATTTTTCAGACAACTGCTCTACCAACTACTGCTTATACTTAACCTTTAGCAAACTAGCTACTTCTCCAAATGCTAAGTGCCTTAAAGACTGTCTAATTCCCATATGACACTGGAGGAAGGCACTATGGAGGAAAAAGGGTATTTGGCTAATGAGATTAAGGGGCCAGGCCAGAACTCTTGGAAGGAGCCATTTCTGATCTGACCAACTCATTCATCCCAAGAGTGCCTTCCTAACGGGCTGTGCCTTTTCTCACTGCCAGGTACCACTTCTCCCTCTCAGATAAGATGCCAGCAGGAAGGTGTTGTTTCTGACGTATTTAAAATAGCCAACATCACATTCTTTTGTACTTGCTTTTATACAGGGTATATCTATTTGCTCTTCAAATTCTTCCTTTCCCTTCCTAGTTTCCAGTAAACATTTTACATTCCAGCAACTCTCTATTGCCTTCATATTCATAGATTTTAAGGGCAGAAGGGACCATTATCATTACCTAGTCTGACCTGCTACATAACACAGGTCAAAGGACCTCACTTAGTATTCTCTGCATTAATTCATAACTTCTGTTTGAGCATATCTTTTAGCAAGATGGACAGTCTTCATTTAATGACACCAAGGGATGGGAAATCCCCTGTGTTCTTAGGTAAGCTGCTTCTGCCTAGTCTGTTCTTTTTTTTTCCCCCTAGCTTTGGCCTCCAACCAATAGATCTTATTATGACTTTTTCTCTGCTAGATTAAAGAGCTGTCTAATATCAGAATAGTCTAAATCCATTTGGAGTGTATTTCATTCAGGATCCATGTCCCTTCAGTTCTCACCATCAAGGTGTCAATTAGTGCGAATCTTAGTTAATTTTTTTTTGTGATGAGGAAGCCGGTCTACTTGGAATTGCCCCCAGGCAATACCTATCTTTCACTTGTCTGTTTGTTATGGACTCAATTTAGCAGCAAATTAACATATGTTAATTTAGCAGCAAAGATACACAACTCAACCGAACCCACCAAATAAAGGACTTTAAAGTCTTTCCCATGTCTCTCTAAAAGTTCAATGAACAGAAAATCAGAAATTCCTCACCTTTTTAGTTGAAGGTGGAGACAGTTTCCAATGAAGCTGAGTGCACTGTACTCCCGCTCTGCTTTTCTGAACAAAAAATTTCTTTTGGGAATTCCTGGATCCTGGTGTGCAAGCGGAGCCTTTTATCACACACACCTCTGTGGATGCAGCTCACTTCTTATTCCCTCTTCCCAATACTTTTCATATCACTTGACAGCATTGATTATGAGCCAACCAGTGAATGACAAACTCTGTGAAAAGAAGAGTTGATTCAGCCATGGCATGGAAAAGCAACATGGAGAGGAAATCTCAATACACAGCTTGGCAGCATCTGATAGATGCAGCAATGCCAGAATAAAACATCAAATTCAAAACATAATGATTACAAAGAGCACTTTGGGGCTGGTATTAAAGAAATAAAATGATCTACAGTCAGGACCTCCAGTGGAAGAAGGTATGAAGGGGATCAGAAAAGACAGAAATCACAGTATGAAATAAGAACTATCAGGTTTGAAGTTAAACCAGCAAATTCATACGACAGGCAGGGCAGTTTTTAATACCACATTGTTAGAATGAATTACTAGGAGAAATCTTTTCTCTGATTACCAAAATTCATTTTCTCCTTTTTTTTAAAAATCTCTTATTTACATCCTGACCACTTGAGAGCCCTACTAGTAGTAAATTTATGAAAATACATGCAACTTTTGTATAAATAGAGATATTTGGTAATTAACATTATATTACAAAAGTCAAAAATGTTTCATTCACTATAGCTTGAAAAAAGAAATACCTATGCTATATTCCTTTGATTAACCCTAACCTGTATCACATAAATATCTAATGACTTGTATTAGTAAGTGAGAAACACAAGGGGAAGGCTCCTTGAAACAACAACTGGTCAAACTAAAAATTTAACATTCAACTACATTTTAAAAATAAAATAAGGAAGAGAAAAGGTTGTTACAAAGCAAAAATCACATTAACATTGGGGAAACATCCATAATGTACACAAGCAATATTTTGTTGAAATCTTAAAAATACCCTAAGAAAACCAATATTAATTTTTCAAAAAATATGAACTACGGTAGTCAACAAGTTTCCACTGAGTCTGCTTTTTGACAAAAAAATTGTTGAAATGAAGTGAAAATTTTCATGAAAAGTTTATTTTCTGCAGAAATTTTTGATTTTTTTTTTGATAAAGACCAAATGTCTGACATCTGAAAAATTAATCCAAAACCCACAATATTAAGATTTGGATATTTCATCATGGTCCTCATGATAGTTAGAGTTCAGTTTCCTCATTCTCCACTACAGTGATATTTCCAAATTGAAGTAATTCAATCTGTGATTTTTCTCTCTTCCCACCCTCCCTTTTTGTCAATGTTTTCCATGGGAAAAAAGTTCATTTTCCAGCCATATCTATAACAAACATCTATCACTATGCAGCTTTGCAAGCAAACTACCAAATGAAAATCAATTCTCACCCATACAGTTTTTAATGCAGTAGATAATGAAGTGCATTTTTAGTATGCAAGTTAATATATATTTGTTGGAATAAATTAATCCCTGGTGTTTTCCAGGGATAATTGTGAAATATTTTAAAATGCACACTTTTCTTAAAAGATGTCAAGTACATGAAATAATAAACTATTAATTATTATCTGTTATTTATTTTATGATAGTGAATGGGGAAGTCAGCTGAAACCAAGCCTCCACTGTGCTAGGCGCTGTACACACCAAGTAAGAGGCAGTCCCTGCCTCAAAGAGTTTAGAATATAGGTGGGTCAGACTGCCTTAGCGAATTCCATGTTGAGTTGTGAAGAGCCACAGCAAGCTGGGGAATAACCTAATATAATAACTCCTCACTTAAAGTCTTCCTGGTTAGCGTTGTTTTCTTGTTACATTGCTGATCAATTAGGGAACATGCTCATTTAAAGTTGTGCAATGCTCCACTCTTATGTTGTTTGGCTGCCTGCTTTCTCCACAGCTGGAAGCCTCCCTACGCCCCCTCACCTCTCGCATCTCCTGCCCGCCAGCAGACCCCACGGATCAGTGCCTTCCCCCTTTTCCCCTGCCTCCTGCCCACAGCAATCAGCTAGTTTGTGGCGTTTTGGAGGCAGGAGGGAGGGGGGAGCGAGGACTCGGCGCGCAGGCTCCCCCTCTCTCCCCTGCCTCCCAAATGCCGCAAACCAGCTGATTGCCGTGGAGGCAGGGGAGAGAGTGGAGGAGCCTGCAGGCCAAGTCCTCGCTCCTCCCCCCTCCCTCCTGCCCCCTGAATGTCGCAAGCCAGCTGATTGCCCCAGGCGGGAGGGAGAGGAGCAAGGACTCGGCACTCCTACACCTCTCTCCCTCCCTTCCTCCCTCCCTCCCCTGCCTCCTGCGGGCCGCAATCAGCTGGCTTGCAGAGTTTTTGGAGGCAGGAGGGAGGGGGAGGACCGAGGACTCAGAACGCAGGCTCCCCC